TATTATTATTATTATTATTATTATTATTATTATTATTATTATTATTATTATTATTATTATTATTATTATTATTATTATTATTATTAATTATTATTATTATTATTATTATTATTATTATTATTATTATTGTTATTAATTATTATTATTATTATTATTATTAATTATTATTATTATTATTATTATTAATTATTGTTATTGTTATTATTGATTATATTCATTATGATTAGTTGTTATCAGTTGCTATTATTAGTTGCAAGAAGTAAAAATTTATCCACCATTGTTTTTGCTGTGCCAGTGTTAAACCCTGTTTCGAATTAGTTCTACTAATGAGGATATGTATCATTGTTCTTTTTCTTTTGTTTTTCAAGAAAACAACTATATATATGCTTTTTTTCTATTCAAAATCCTGATCAATCTTTTTCATATATATTTTTTAAACATAAACAATTTTTAATTTCAGACACAACGACAAAAATAATTGAATAAGAAGAAAAAATGTTTTATTGTAACTTTTTTAAAAATTTTTCTAATTTTCTGTGCGAAACAAAATTATTTCAGATTTTAAGTATTGATTTGGCAAGTGAATTACCACCATCGATCTCGTTAGCATATCAATCACCGGTAAGTGATATAATGCGAATTCCACCACGGCATTGTAATGATCGCCTCGTATCTCGACCTCTTCTTATTTATTCATATGCTTTTATTGGTACAATAATTACGGTGGGATGTATTGTCTCTTTTCTTTTTGTTTATCGGTAAGTAAATTAAGTTTTATTCTTATCCACTTTTTTTTTGAGCTTTATTTATATAATTAAATGCTTTCTAAGCATTAAAAAAAATATATATAATTTAGGTATCATAATATTGAATTGATTGATTTACTTTTCACTGCTGATAATTATTGGTGTCGAGAAGCGGAAAATTTTACAATTAATGGCGGAAATGTATTAACAGCGTCGGAGCAAATGTATATCAAAGGTCAAGCAGCAGCAGCATGGCAGATTACTTTAGTAGTTTCTCAGGTAAATATTAGAACTTAAATCTAATTGTCATTATTTGATTGAAAATTAAAATTAATCAAAAATGCTATGACATTTGCTATAGTAAAATTAAATGAACATTTACTACAAAATTTTGCTGTATTTTTTTGTTTTTTAGGTTTTTCACTTATATATGTGTACAACACGTGGAACATCATTTTTTCGCCATGCAACAACAAATTTAGTTTCAATCTTTGCAGTTATTATTGAAATTTTATCGCTCAATTTATTCATTTATACACCATTTGCACAGTCTTTCATGGAAACTCAATCACCACCAAATGAGGTGGATTTTTTATTTTCCTTGATTAAAAAGCATTGGGAATTTCGAAAAATTTCACGCCACCTAATGAAATTATTAATCAGAGCAATAAAGAAATTAATCACAATTATATTTTCTAAACATAATAAGATTTTTTTAAAATAATTTATAAATAATCAATCAAAGATGTGATAAAAATTTTTCATTGTCGTATCAATTTTGTTTTTGCCTCAAGAATTCTTCGTAAAATTAATCAATATTGCCGCAAGTTGTAATAATACTTGTAGTTTTTTTAAAAAAAAACATAGAAAACTGAAATCTTTCCGATCTCATGTGCATTTTTAAAATAGTCGATTTATCATATATATATATATATATACTCGATTATTGTTTACTTATTCAACAATTAGTCGGTTTAAATTAATCTTGGTTTTTAAAATTCTTTTTTTTCGGTTTGGTTATGTGCTGGATTTGTTGGTTTAATATTATTAATCTTCAATGAATTGCGAAAATTTTGCATACGACGATGGCCAACAAATTTTTTCGTAAAATTTGTTAATTTTTAAAAGATTGTTGTTTTATTTTTATTTTTCTCCTTTTTTCTCTTCTCTCTCTCTCATCTGTCCATTATTTTATTTTGTGTTAATATTTGAATTTGTTGATATTCGAAATTGTTAGCAAATTTTTATCAATAACATATGTTTATTTGCTTGAACAAAATTAAATCTCAAAAAAGTTGAATTAATTTAATAAATTTGTTTCAAAAAAAGAAAAAAACTGATAATATTGTTTAATGCTCAAATCATTTATTCATTACAGCAAAATTATTTGCTCTACAACGATGTCTAATTATAAAATGTGTTAACAAGTATAATTAATATCATTTGATGATTTGATTCGATTATTATTTTCCTTTAATATTTCATTTGTTAATTATTCCCTAATTACTAATAGAAGCAATTGCAATTCTTACAGTCTGTCCGTGATGAAAACAAAAAATGAAACCATTAAAAAGTATGAAATTGGTTTTTGATAGGGCAATAAAACAACAAATGGAATAAATGGGAAAAGAAAGGGATGAAAAAACTGGAAAAACTGGATTTAAATTAGAATGTGATATTTAATTTTGATTTTCAAGACGAAGAGGTGGATTTGATTAAAATGCAAATATTTGTATTTAATTTTTAAAACGAAAAAATAGAATTGAATTAAAATATGAAATGTTAATTTGCCTTTCTTTTATGTTCATAACTATATTGGATATATACATTACTATTTTCTAATCCTTTTTTTTCATACAATTAAATTAATTTCGTGGCAACATCGATTAATTAAAATCTCATTCACATATTTATGCTAATTTTTAAGTAAATTATATTATATACAATTTGTTGTATAGTTGTAACCAATACATATATGATGATTATTCATCCATCATCTATCAATAAAATTTTGCTCATCAAAATTTGTTAAATATGTACTATAAAAAAGAAATTTATTTAATATACATTGTTGATTTGTTATATACAAATTTATATAGTATACATGATTTGGTTCACATTGACTTCACATTCGGTCCAAATTGGACAAAAACAAAAAAGTAATATTAACTCTTCCAAGGTATATACGCCAACAGTGTATGCAATCAATCTTATAATTAATCGAATATTTTTCATTTTTTCTTTCTCTTTAAACAATTATAAACATCTTAATATAAAAAAGCACACATTTTTGATGCAAATTTAATAAGAAAATAATAATTATTACAGAAAATGTAATAAGAAAATAATGATTAATAGTAAAATAATTATGAATTTATTACATTTCCTATTTTTGAACATTTTCCTTCTCTTATTTTTCTTTTCAATGAAAGAAAAAAATTGTGGAAATTTTTGTTATATGAAACATTTGATTTAAACAGCAATGATCGATGTTAACTGTTCATGGCTTTTTGTGATCCTCATTTTTGAGGCTTAATTATACGGCCACAGTATTTACTACTTGCTCTTTCATCTTTTACTACATTAGCATATTTTATCCATTGTCATAGATGATTGTCTTTTTTGTTTCTTTCGTATGTTTCTTCAGCATTTATTAATTAAATCAACAATAATTCGAATATTCAATAAAAATGATTAGTTGTGATTTGTTATGCGCTTCACTTTAATTAATTAAAATGCTTGCATTAGCTCACTTTGAGTATTGCAATCAACAAGTGAACTCATTTTGGGGGAAACATCGATTAAATCAGTTGCTATCATTTCGTACGCCATATTTTATGGATATCGATTAAATTAATTGCTATTATTTTAATTATGGCAATTAATAGCCGGTGATGAAATTTTTAATTGAAATTTTAGAATGAAATTTTTGACTGAAATTTTAGGACGGGAGGTCTGAATACTCATAATTTATCAAAATAATTAAAATGAAATGAAGCAGAAGAGAAAAAAAAGAGAAATAAATGGAAAACAAGAATGAAAAGTATTATGTTCAAGATTTATTAAACATTTGATCAAATGAACTACCAATGAAGAAGACCAATGGATTAATGAATAAATTGAAAATTTTTGCATAATGACAAATAAAAATTGAACGAAAATGTTTTGTTATGTGTTAGTTTCCTTTTTTTCAGTTATTTGTTCGTAAATAAAACAATAATTAAGCTAATTTTATACATGATCGAAAATTAATTTTTAGTAATTTCGGAGATATTTAATAGAAAAAGATTATTTTAAAGTTGTAGGGGAAAATATTATTTAATTTTAGCTCAATGAAATGCTATTCAAAGAATTTCCATTCTTCATTTGTTATTCATTTGTAAAATCAAATTAAATTTGAAAATTTTAAATTTATTCATTCCCTTTTCATTTATACATTAATATCTACTTCGTTTTTTTTCGCATTAACGACAAAAGAAAATGTTTACTGTAGTTTGTATCATTTCAATTTCAACTCTTTTTCTTTGTTGTTGAAATTGCTTAGCCAAATTTTAATTGTTCGAGCTAGTTTTTATTAAAACCCGAAATAAATTAAATTTTAAAAGCAATAATTTTTATAAATTAAACCATCGAATAATTTTCATCAAAGAGTTGAATTAAAATTTTTTTCCTTTCATTGTTTTATATTAAATTTTCTTACATTCTAAGACTCACTAATTCTTATAAAGTATTTGCAAAATTAAGTAGTTAAGGATGCGATAACCTTTATTGCTTTAATTTTAATTGATTAATTAATTTCCAACCTTTGATGTATTTTTAATACTAAACTATATCAAATTGATCCGTAATTCCTATAATTTTGATAAAGTATTTACAAAATTATATAATTTAAAATGCGACAACCCTCTTCGCTCTGACATTTTAATTAATTAGCTATTCTTGAACCAACTTAACAATATATTGGTTAAATAAATCTAAACTTCAACACGAAATAGATTAACTATCCGACGGCAAATCTGTACTCTTTCATCGCCTTGTTTTATTCCGCCTGATTGAAATTATATCAATTCTTCTGTTAAACATACCATTAATACCGGTTATTCATTTTTTTTGGAATTTCATAAAGTGGCATAGTATTCAATTAATTGATTAATTTAATTAATTAATCATTCTGAAAACTTAGGTATAAACTGATTGATCTTATTTTTATACCCTTCGACTGAAGTAATTGCTTATCATTTTCGCATTATGATAATAATTAAGTTCATCAATTAATGGCATTGATGAAATAAAACGTTTTTTTTCATATTTTGAATACATTAAAATAAATTCAAATAAAGCAAATGGAATTGATAAGTCAAAAGAGGAGAAAAACGAGAATGAGGCAATTATTTAATTCAATGTATAAGTTATTTCTATCAAAAATGGGAAAAGAAAGGAAGAATGAATATCAATGATATCAACGGAAACATGCATATTTTATCATCATCACCAACATCATCCTCAT